TGAGGGGTACCTCCCATAGTGAAAATTTTTAATCAGCTCTAACTTCGGAATTATAGTCACATGAACTCGAAATTTGAAATGCACAGATACCTATGGTAGGTGCTTATGGAAAGATATATGTATATAAATGAGTTTGTAAAAAGGGGCGTGGCACATCTCATAGGTGTAGAATCTTTTATCAGCTATAACAGCAGGCAATATTAGTGATCTCATTATATTGCATTTTGAAGATTTGTTATAATTGATCAAAGTGAAATTCAAATAAATTATAGATGATATGAAGTTCACCGGGTCATCTTCTAGTCTTTAATATATACTCAGTTAATATACGGATAAATATTTACTAAAGTGTTACGAACGATATTTTTTTAATACCATAAGAAAAAAATAACTATGATTTAAAGGAGTGACACACAATGGCTAGAGTCGTCGCATGTGTGTATTCTTTCATATACATATATATGGGCCGTTCTTACGGTTTATATATTTTTCATCCACTCGCTTATTCCTTACCGAAAATTTTAAATAAAAATTTAACAAGTTTTAACCGCTGATACAGTACAGGTAGCAGTTTAAAATGGGGAACTGGGTAAACTTAATAAAGAAAACATATTCTCTGGTTAAATTAATAAGCCTGCCCGGATAACACAAAATCCTAAGCTTGATAAACATTTGGTGTTATACAAGTTTTATAAAGCTCTACTTGTATTTAGGAAAAATGCAAAAAAAAAATTATAAAATTTATTGATCGATTGATAGAAATAGAGAGGGAGTTATGGCTATGACAATAGAAACTAGAAAAAAGATACCTCGTGTTGAAAGCAAAAAGGATCTAAAACCAAACAAAAAAATATAAATACATTGTCAATCAAAAAAAAAATTTATGATTCGAAAAATAATTTTGAAATATTGTAAATTTTTTTTTTGGTTTTTTAAAGTTAAGGGTTTATTTACTTACAGTAACGAACAAAAGTATTGGCACAGTAAATTTTTCCCAATATAGGCAAAGTATTTTTTAGAAAAGTTCCAAGTATGCAGTTTAATAATACATTTAATTTTAGTTTATCAAAGTGCAGGTTTGAAGTTGCTTGAAAATCTGAATATAAAATTGCAAATTAGTATGCTGATTTATTGAATTTTCCTGAGTTTTTCACAAAGTTTACACATTTGATTTTTATGTGTTTTAGTGTAGTATGAATAATGTGACCAACTATTTCATAGCACAAAGAAGTACAGGTTAGGTTAGTTAACGCCGCGAGTCGATTATGAAATTTCGAATGCGGCTAATTTCGATCCCTGAGAGCTCAGTGTTTGTTGAAAAGTGCGAGGATCAGTTGAAATTTCAAGTCTCAACGCATGAATGCCAATCGCATAATGGCCTGTCAGAACCCCCATCACTAGCCCTTGAGAGGTAACATGTTTAAAAGTGCCCTATTAAAACATTTGCTGCAGCAGAGAAACATCTTTTCCTTTTTTATGTCACGAAAGGACCCGGTTCCCCTAAGCCCAATAGCAGATCGTGCTGCGACAATTCTGTCTGCAATATCCGCAGGCGCCGTGTTCAACATATGTATGTTAAGCGCCAGTGTAGGTGTGGTTCCTAATGCTCCGCTAATTCCTATTTTACAAGTGTAGCCTTCTCTAGTAAGTTCCACCAGAGAAGGGCTCCCTGAAACAATATAGGCTTAAATCTGGTTTCCTAGAGCTAATGAATTAATTTGGGCGAGAGACCCCTACAGAAGTACAAGGCAACCGACACCTTTCTTACCTTACCTCAATATTAGGCTTCCACGACAGCCGTCGTTGATCGCCCACCTAGTTACCTGGTTCAGGTACCCTGAGCCAGAACAAAAATGGTGTCTAGAAATCGTCTCCTTAACCAAAATTTCCACATCATCTACATAGGCGATCACCCGACAGCCCACTTTATCCAGTTTCTCTAGAAGGTCTTTTACAACCGCAATCCAGAGCAGGGGAGAGAGAACACCACCTTGTGGAGTGCTCCAAATGACTCTGCATTGAGTGCAGGCGCGTCCCCACTCCGCCGCGACAGTTCTATTCGCGGTAGTGAGCTGTAGATAAGCCTTATTAGGTTGGTTTCGACCCCCTGATTATGAATATTTATATCGACTGTTGCCTCTGGTGTGACATTGTTGAAGGCCCTCTCGATATCGAAGAATGCCCCTACTGCATAATCTTTATGCGTGAAAAGTTCCTATGTCCACTTTACCAATGTATACAGGGCGATATTCACCAACCTCTTCTTGCAATAAGCATACTGAGCTCTTGAAAGACAGTCACAAGCAATCGCGTTTCTTATGCAGAGGTCTATTAGTCTCTCTAGAGTTTTTAGCAAAAACAAAGAGGGACTGATTGACCTAAAATACTTAGGGGAAACATGTGCGCCTTTTCCGCCCTTCGGGCTGAACTCCAAGCCTTCGGGATGTACCCGGTCCTCACGCAGTTCGCATAAATGGGATCCAACCAATCGCACGACACCTTCAGAGTCCTTCGCTGCTGTGCAGGTATGATGCCATCGGTCCGCGGCGACTTTAATGGTTTCAACGAAATTATCGCCCAGACCATGTGACGATCGTCCAGAAGATCGGAGAATTACAGGACCTGGGGGAAGATTCTGAAACCAGTTAGCGACAATTTTGGAATCACTATCGCACTTTTAGACGCAAAAACATTTATATCATGCGTCAAAAAGTGCGATAGCGATCCGAAAATTGTCGCTAACTGGTTACAAAATCTTCCTCCTGAAGTACAAAATATCGCAAATAAGTACATTTGATTGTACTTCGAAGTACAAGAGCGAAAAAAGAAGTACTGTACTTCCGAAAGAAGTACGGTTGGCCACATTAAGTATGAACTA